TAGTATGTTGACAATGGTGTTGTCTTGTTTTCATACCCCATGTTGTAACATAAGATTTGGCAAAATATGACTGAGTATTTAAATTAGATCTATTGCAATGTCTTGTCTTTAATCCACACTTAATTTAGGGTGTCACTTACTGTGGTGAGTCGAAAGCTTCAACGTTGACAATGGAAAATGTTCCCTGGCATGAAGAGGTGGTCAAGTTTGTCACACAGTTGGTTGACAGATTACCGGACTATGAGCTGGCCTCTGAACATGAACATTCTAATTGTCTCCTCACTGCACAGAAAAAGTTGTTACAGGGTTGAATATTAATTTCACCAAATGACTTGAGAAAAGTTCCTGTGCAACTAAATGTGATTTAGTATTTTTAATCCAAAAAGTAGGATGTGGTTTTCTTCCTGAAGTTACAATGTCTTCCATTAGGATTTCATAAAATTTCTAAAAAATTGTCTATGGTTATTGTTTTGTCCTTGCGAAGATGATCATGGCTTGAGTAGTAGCTATGATTTGAGCTATATTTTGTTTAAAGTGAGGGAGAGTTCCTCAATTCATCAGCCTCACTCACTTTTCCTTGCCCATTTGATCCAATGGGAAGACTTAGGATGACTGGAAATAGACTAGGATGCAATAGATGGCTAGCACTAAAAAAATTATCTATAGATCCGAATAATGATAATTATTTTTAAATATCTATTTTTGGGGAAATTTTAAAAATTAATTTTAATTTACATACATTAATATATTTCCATCACATACAAGATTTTTCAAACAGAAGGATTTATAAGGCAATTCAATAAATGAATAAATTAATGTTGATATCTTTACATTTTCTCACAATCAAGTTTAAGAAAGATGGTGAGTGGTGGACTTGGATCGCTTCCCTCAATTTCACAAGCTGTGGCGTTGTTACCAAGAAAGCAATGGGAAAGAGACATTCTCTTCATCTGATTATATGGCCTCTACACCAAACTGGGCAGTTTATGGTTCTAAGGAACAAGGCTTGGATCCAGTAGAAACAAGATTTTACCGAAATAAGAAGCAAAAGTCACAGGGGCAAGAATAAACTTACAACTTGCATTTTGCTGACTTATTAACACAAAAATGCTGTTAC